ACCGCAACGGAGCGTGCGATAGTAAAACGACGGCTCGTACCACCTTGGTAGTTTCCGGTGAGCGATGTCATCATGTGTCGTGCCGACGTGATGCAATATACATGCTAATACGATAGCTTGAACCAGTTCATGAGGTGGATACCGGTGGAAAATGCCGCCGCGAGATTCTCTCTTCGGCCCTTTGACACGACTACGAAAGAAACCACCGGTGACCGGCCACTCGCCCATGAATTTCAAGCGACTCTCTTCTCTCGTTTTACTGATTTAAGAAAATTAGGAAGAGAGTCAGTCTCTATGAAAATTTTTCGTAGTTAATACTAATGCAATTAGGTGGTATAACTAACGTAATGTTGTATAGAGCAAGAATATTGTAGATCAAGCAGCGTTTTGCATTGTAGACAGTACTAATGCATTTTTTTTACTGGAAAGAGATAGAAAAATAATGAGAAATTTTGTAAACGTTAGTTTCACGTTAGTATAGCACAATTTGTGATATTACGTACATCCAAAACATTTCGACTTCCAAATACTATAAAAATAGACGATTGTTGATTTCGCGTTATACCCGCAGCTATCAAAGTGTCCTCTAATTTTCTCAACATGTTGCATTCGCAGCATTCAAAAAGGTAGAAAAGGTAGATACTTTTCCTGGCTTCAACTTTAATACCGAGAAACTTTGTTTTCAATGGCGATAGTAAAAGGCTTTATTGTTTTAGGGGATTTCCGTGGGTTACAATATTCCCTGCAGTCAGAAACACAGAAAGCCGAGTTCTACGGTTATGTTTACGATGCGAGTTAAATTTCTATGTGAGTTGTAAGAGCGAAAGCGAACCGTTCTCTGACTATAATTAAACTGCCAGTAAATAGAGTGTGTTTATTAATGCAAAAAAAAAGAGAATATTATAAAATTTAATAAAATTGGGTAAAAATGTAAAGAATAAAATTTATAATGAATATAAAATAAATACATATATGTATAGAATGATTTTCGTAAAATTAATAAATTTATTTATTCTTATTTTTATAAATTACAATATGTACTGTATTGACAATATATAAAAAATCTTTATCAAATTTATAATTTTTTAATCAAACTTAAATTGCATTTCACGACATTTTTTTAAGTTCAACAAAAACATTATATTAATGTGCCAAATGAGTCATTAAAAATGATATTGACTTAATATTTCGTTAATCTTGATAAATTTGTATGGTTTTATTTTCAAAATTTATCGTTATAACGTTATGTAATAACTTAAACAGCGTTTGATAAAATTATTGACAGTTAATTTCTCTTTAATCTTGTTATACATTTACATTAAATTTTTCCCTCTGCCTTTCCTATCTCCCCCCCTCTCTCTCTTTCTTCCTTCGTTCATTAAATATTTTATATTTTAATATGCATTTACGTGGTGGCAAAGGATTGCAAATTACTTTCGCTGAAGACGTTTCTTGTGCAACAAACTGTTTGCGAGGATTAACTTGGCAATCCTTTAAATGCAGAGAGAATACCGACGTAGAAAGATTCGAAAATGTAGGAACTAAATAAATCGGACGACGTCCTTAGCACGCCTTTATCCGCGTGAGCCGTCGAGATTTATTAAACCTGCATATACTTCCGCATCTTCTACCTTGAGCTTAAGCTTCGATACGGTTTATTTTACTCCGACCAGCAAGTTTCCTGAAATTCAAGCTAAACAAATGAGCTTTACCGCTGCTCAAGAAAAACAAACGGTTTCCCCTTATAGACGTTGGTTGAATATTAGATTAAGCTAATACAATGTTTACCTTTTGTATTTTGATAAAGATTGTAATCTTCCAACGCACTGTTCAATATTATTTAATATACTTAATAAAAATTAAAATTTTTTAATTGTTAATTTTAAGTTGAGTATATTGCACTTTAAAAAAAATTTGAGTTATTTTTAAATAATTAACACTTTTATTAAATCTTTGCGATTAATCAGTACATCATTGGTCAGTTATTGCTTTAATACATGAAATTAAAAGTAAGAGTATAAAAATTAAAATATTTTTTAATATATATAATTTTAGATGTCTCTAACAACGCGCGCACGTTGCGATCATATGTAACACTGCTTGTAACGCATTGCCTGATATCGGTATTTTCCCGGTTATTTTTCTTCGCCAATGTTATCGAGTAAAGAAGAGCAAAGAAGAGATATTCTTTTTCTCTTTAGGTATTGATATTTCTACCAACGACGTAAGCCATTAGACATTAGGAATATATTTTTCCTTTTCTTTCCTTCTGCCTTTCTCGTTCTGTTTATTTTTTTATTTTCAAAACAGATTTTTATTGATTGAAAAAAATCTCTCTTTATCTTTCTTTCTTTTTCCGGTATTAAATGTGATTTAATACTTGGTGAATGAGAAAAAATAAATCTGATAAATGGTCTGTAAATTTAATTTTATGATGTAATAAATTGATCTCTACCCATACAGCACAAAAGCTTGCAGCAACATTGCTTGCATGTACTGTAATATTGCTGAAACATTGTAATTGTTGCAATATTGCTGAAAAGACTGTGCTATATGAATATCAATTACACAGGTTCGCCTCTTCAATACCATATAATAATAATATACAAAATTTTCATGTATTTTTACAACTGATAAAAAGTAGCAAATTACATTCCGTATACGGTTGGAATCGTTTTCTATTCCATTGCATCGTACTCCTTGTTTCACCTCGAGAAATTTAATTCTCGAAAAGACCCGGCGGATGCTTAACTTGCGAAGTAATTACGCGCGGCTGATGTTAATTATCCGGTATTCGCGTTATATGCGCGAATACTGCGAAATCGACCGATCGATTTAGTTGAGACGCCACGGAGTGCCAAATGATTCCCAATGGAGCAAAACCAACCTCGGCAACACCAATCTGCCGGATATCGCGTAATTATCTAAGCAGGATAATATGCGCACATGGAATGCTACGTTTTATGGTAATTATCTTTTATGGCCTGTGCTACTTTGTGCTTGGCACATATTCCCTACTTTCGAGAACATCGATCTAGAAAATTTTTAAAACCCGCTTGTAGAATATCTTGTTTTTTGACGTTTTTATAACAATAAAAATATTAATATTTAAAGACTTTGATTAAGAAAAAAACCCAATCAATTAAAAATAATGTATAACATTAATGTTATGTTACTTTTAGTTTGTGTTAACTGAAATTGATTTTAAATTCATGAAGAATTATATAGAACTTTCTGCTTTTATTTATTATATAGAACTGATTCACATGCGCAAGATATTATATCCGCAATATATAATCCGAAAGTTTCGCGACTTCTTGTTCCTCAACTAACGCCTTCTTGTTTCGCATCTTTTGTTGCGCATCGAAGAATACGTTGACAAAGTCGCGCATAAATCGTGGCTAAGTGCGCCTTAGCGTAGCCGATACACGCGCCTCCACTAATCCGTATTAATCGCCAGCCATTCATTAGGAAGTCAGCAATGGGTGCCGCGTAATTCTGCACCTGGCGCACTCTCGCGATCAATCGCTCGCGTTCCTCCCTTACCATAAATCTTGCCGCTAAACTACCGCTATACGCCCGCAGAAGACAATGACCAAGTAAGCTCAACGGCTGCTGAAGCACCCGTTATATCCCTAGAACAATCCGAAAGAAACACGCGGCGCAATTGTATTTTTCTTCGAGCAAAACGAACTTTGATAAATTTTTATTGAAAAGCGCTATACACATTAAACACGTATATATAATATAAAATATTAGTAAAATATTAGTAAACAATTAATAAAATATTAATAAATAGTTTATTTGTATAAGACAATTTTAATGTAAAATAAATATTAATTTTAATACAAAACTAGAAAATTTATATAAATATATTATTAAGCACCATAATCCGTTTTGACTGAATATGGCCTTCTTCGCTTACTGCATATTTAACGATCTAATATTTTTGTAGCATATTAGGTGTTATAATTTGCAATAATAGTTTTGTAACATAACGGTGTTAAATAAATTGGAAAGTGTCGTCCGTAAATGCTAAAAATTGAATAATTTTTTCGCTTTACACGCATTTAAAACCTTCTTTCAGCCTCCTCTTTTGTTAAGTATCAAGATCGGCTTGTTTCAGATTCTCTTTCACCTACAAACAAATTCCGATGCTCTTTATTCGATTCGGCGAGAACATTTAATCGGATTTTGAGATTCCGTTCGTAAGAGACCGGTCGCGGACGCGTTCTCCGTTATTTTCCATCCTTCATTGTTATCGCGACGAAACAAAGGTAAACGCGGTCGCGCAAAAAGACCGTAAGATGGGTTTAATGGCACTGGCACGTCGCCAAATCGCGCCGCGAGGTCGAATGCACCGATTGAAATGTTCATTACTGCCGCAAATCATCCGGCGAATCCGCGTAAGGAAGAGCTGCCTGTACTATATATCCACCACTTCGTATCTCTTTCAGCTCGCTCAACTGCGGTAGAAACGAATTGCCACGATAAATCCACCGGCGTCGATTTTTCTCGAGAGGCGCGTCGCTTCCAAGATGATGGGTTGGGATTCTTGGCGCTTATTACTGTGATTCGCAAACTTGCGAGAGAAAACTGAGAAATCTCGTCATTTACCACAATCTTAGAAAGATACGAAAATGTTATTCCCTTAGTCTATTTGTTGAATAATAGCTTTAAAAGTACAAACGTAATTAAATAATAATCATATTTCTTTTTGACTAATAAACTAGTCGTTGAAATAATATTTATCTAATAGTTTGAATTTTTTTTTTGCATTATTTTCAGCAAAATTGAAAATATTAATCGCATATATATTGTATGAATAGTTAATAATTTATTTTCTTCTTTTCAAAAAGAAAATTGCAAAAGGAATTCCAATAAACGAGGATGAAGGTTTTTATTTTTTAGTTTGTACCGATAATTCTTTAAGCGAGTCTTTAACGAAAACTATTGTAGTGAATTGGCCGATTTATAAACTACTGCCTTTTTTGTTCCAGACAAAGCTCCCTCGGAAGCATCCTTCAGAGGGACTGAGTATCTCACGATAGATTTGAGCAAAGGAGAACCAGTACTCAGTACACAAGAATCCATAAGCCTCCAGTTCAAAACGAGAGCAGCAAATGGACTTCTATTTTATTCCGGTAAGTACTTCCTGTGTTCATGGCGAACGACTTTCTTTGTCAATTATAATAACTTCCCTCTAAGTAGCAATTTTATTTGCACTTGCGAATTGTCCCACTTTCGAATGCGTTTGCGAGTAATTAAGAAAATAGATTCTTGATACTGGAAAATGTTCGCAGTTCGATTTTAAAGTATAAAATTGTTGTAAATTTTCTGGAAACGATTAATCATAGAGGCGCGCAACTAATTGAAAACAATTCAGGAAGAACAATAATGGAGTGACATCTAATCGAGTAACTTACGAACGATCGGATATCCTTTGAGAGAACACAGATAGACAATAGAACCATCTTGGACAATGGTCGCATATTAAATCTTTAGATTGCTTCTCTTCTCTCGTGGCGACATTATAGCCAATTAGAACGTTTCAGTTGGATACCAAACGTACAGCCAACTAAAGAAATTTTGTCTCTCACCTTTTCTCTTTATGTTTAACATCATTTTCTTAACATCTTTTCTCTCTCTCTCTCTCTCTCTCTCTTTTATCTTAAGACGGTATTATATTGAATATTCGACCTATTTCTTATTCGACCTATAATAATTTTGACGCAAAACGTTTAAAATTTTTGCGCAAAATAGTGGACGCGGCATATATAATACGTTATCATCCGAGAATATAAAAAACTGATTAAATTACTTCATTTACATATCTATTTGTTAACCTACAAACATACTTTATATCAGTAATAATAGAATTTCTAATTTTATATTTAGTTCCAACATTAATGGTAAAAATATTTAGAGTCTGTGCTATAATTCTAGTCAATTATAATTTTTAGTATGAAAAGATCAATTTGATATTACTAATAATTTGAAGTGTTTAAGTTTGAAGAGATGTTTACAAAAGTAAATTTTAGTTAGATAGTAAAATAAGTCACGATATTGTTCTTCGATATTAATTTTAAAACTTTAACAAAATTTTAGTTTGGAATTTGAAATACAAAGTTGTAAAAATACATACAAATTAAATTTAATCAAGTTGCCTGAATAATCAACAGGGTACGAGAAAAGGTAGCTCAAGTTAAGATAAAAGTTTGTTTCTTATTCGCTTGCATTTCGGTCAGATTTCTAATTTATTGTGCCTTTATATTACACCCATCGTTTCATCTGGCATATTATGGCTTCTCACCGGATGCACATGAACCTCCAGTTTATAGTATACTTACGTAATGAACGGTGGAATCAGCGCAGCCAAGATGGCAAGACTGCACCATCCGCAGTAAAAGGAGGAGTTTGCACCTCCGCTCCGGTTACAGCAACTCGAAACCTATATAACGGAGCCGCAATGCCGTACCACATACACTTACGTACGCTCTCATACGTCCGCATTCGCATATTCACTACACATACGACACATAAGATGCATACGTAGCAATCGTTTCTCCTTCTTGCACTCGCTCTTGCATCTCCACAGCGCGCTCACACTAGGCTGCTCATTTGTTCCTGAGATAAGCTATAATACAACCGCGCACTCGCCGCGCATTTGAATTGCACGTATTTCCGGGGGGCATAATAATCGTCATGCCACGCAACTTCTATTCTTTCAAATCGCGATATCGTACCGCAAGAATTCCCTCGCACGAAGAGCGAGGGTAAACATAACAATCTCCTTCGAGAATTCCGCTGGAACGTGTCTGACCATCTTCGTCTTTTACTACTTGCGCTGTCTACTTCTATATTTGGCTCGCTCACGTGCCGAGTCGCGGTGTGTTAAATTCACATTGGAAATGGTTTTGTCTGTTTTCGAACAACTATTTGCAACACGATTACGCAAGGATATTTCTCGAATGTAACGGGATTTACGCGGATAATTCGCATCCAGGGGATAATTAGGCAAAGTACATTCCAATAACGAGCGAACAATAAATAACAATTTACTCGTGCATGTGTTTGTGAATGTATTGACGATCAACGATTGTTATTTTTGATTCTAGAAAATTCGTTTGCTTTTTGGTAATTAAATATCCAATAGTGTACGAGCAGAGTTGAGAGAAATGGATTACTCATACAAATTTTGATCATACTGAGAAAAAAATATACCAAATTTTAATAAATATTTATTTGAATAGTGCCAACTAAACATTTACTTACTTTTATTGAGTAAATAAATATTTACTCAATAAAAAAATGTTAATTCAAAATAATGGTCCTTATACTAAATAAATATATCTTCATATTTAATAAATATTTAGTTTTCTATTCAAACAAATAATTTATAAAATTTTAGAATATTTTTTTAATGCAGGGATGTAACTATAACGGAAGCGCGTAGAAACTCTCGCCAATTTCTCGCCGTGTAGAATCCATCTCGCAGGCGCTACCTTCGCAGCGCGTAACGTGTGTTATCATGTTTGTTGTCCGATAGCGATCCGCGATGTGCATCGTGCCGGCGATGGTGGTATTACGCGAATAAAAGCGCGATACGTAACGCGCGTAATACACTTAGGCGCATACTAATGCGTCGCGCCAGCAGCAATTAAGCCCGAAGTACTGTCTGCATCTTTTATACGCTCGAGTCCCCGGGCTGCCCGTGAGATAATTAGTATGCGGTCGCGGCCCGATTTTAAAGCGACTGCGGCAATAACCGACGGTGGCGTTTGCGAGATTCACGAGTGTAACGCCATATCCGTACCCGTCCCTCCCGATCCGCCTTAATCTACTCGCAATCTACTGATAAAAATTATAATTTCTGCTCTGTAGTGTATTAACGCCTCTTATATATTTATGTTCTTATTATTCGCTGCGTGCATCGAGCAAAATAATCGTAAATTGAAAAAAATACTAAAAAACTTGAATTTTTCTCTGCAAATTCTGTTAATTTAATTAAATGCAACAGCTTGAAAAAAGTAAAACGCTATATTCACTGTATTCATAAAGGTGTTTATTAAATGACTGTATAATAAGAGGAATTTTCACAAACAATTTTATTAGACAACTTTTTTATTTTTAATAAAAAATAAAAAATAAATTAATTTTCACTTCTTTTGATTTCAATTTTTTTTTAAATACTATCGTTTTCACTGCGTTTAACATGAGTATACATTTTTATGATATAATTCTCTGTCCGTAATCATATTTTTACTCTCTCTGATTTTGATGAGCTTGAAAAATTGAATGATTTTAAGAGTGCTTAATAATTATAATTAAAAAATTTTTATTTTTACTTTTTATAAATAAAAATTTTTTTATTTAAACAAATTTTTTTAATTAAAAGAAACCGATTTTCTTTTAAGGAATGTTTCACTCCTTGAAAGTGCGATAGGACACATAAAATATGTGTCTCTTATTTTCGTTCATAAAATAACATTAAAAGCTCATCACAATCAGAGGGGAATACTTGAGTCTCTCTCGTAAGTATGCTTTAAATCGTTTTTTATATTAACTGTACAAGAATACTAATAGCGTCTAATTTTTAATCCCAAAAATCGTCGTTCTATCAGCAGAATCATTTTGATCCTTCAACTCGTTACAAGTATAACATAATCCGCGAGGATTTCCTGGCGAATTTAGTACAGGATAATTATTAACGACGATCACCGGACGTTTTAACTGGTCGCCGGAAGTACCTCGAAACTAATGGTTAAGCGGTCGTAATCGATTTATACGCGTCGCATCGTGCTATAATCCGGCAGGCGAGCTCGACGAAAAATGGAGTGAGCCAGGGAACCTGATGGACCGACATCGCCGCGGGGATTAAAAAGTTGCGTTGAAATTTGCGTACGTTGCTGTCGATCTTTTTTTCAGGCAATGCGTGCGACGTTAACGCGTCAAAAGGGATCGTGCTCAATGGACGGTAATGTTCCCGGTCACGTCAACATAGACAGTAACTAAAAAACGTCCATGACGGCTGCGAGCATTTTCCGTTTTCGACAATCTCGCGTCAGCCACTGTCACAATTAATTCAGCGGCATTATTTGCGCTTCAAAAGCGAGATAAGGGTTTATTCGCTGTGCAATGTACGCTAAGCGCGCGCGCGCGTGCGCTTACGATACTCGCCACGACTTCATTAATCCCGTTTTTAATTACAGGAGAGGGCGATGATTATCTCACTATATCGCTGAAAGACGGAGGCGCCGCAGTCAGTATGAGCCTAGCCAAAGGAAGATTGGATTTGCATATAAAGCCGGTCAAGTTGCGATTCGATGATCGTCAATGGCACAAAATCGTCGTCCATCGGAAAGTTCAAGAGGTAACGATTATTATTATTTTATCTGTACATCCGCAAATAAATGATAAAATAAGAATTAAACACGGACGAATTAAAGATAGAATTAAAGACATCGGAAGTGAGTAAATGTAAGAAACGGATACTATCCATTAATGCAAATGCTATTGATATGCTTATAAGTTGATATATACCGTCAGCTCGAGATCCGCTTTTAAATATCTAATTTTAATGAGCGGAAAGTGGAAAATCCATTACAGTACGGACGTTGAAGGCGTTAAATTTTCACACAGTCGCGATTCAAATGGATCGGCGAACGGACGTGAGAGCAATTTTGTTAATGTTGTGGATATACACTGGCATTCATTGCGCATTACGCGCAGTAGAATAGATAACGCAATTATTTGCGCGCGACCATCGTGGGTTCCGTGAACTGTGCGGAATGACATGAGTTTATCAATTTATCGCCGCGAAATATTGGCATCCCTTGTCGAATGTAACATATACTGTACGGATCGAGATAATTAAAGTAAGCCAATATTTGTTCTGAAATCTGTTAATTTTGTAACAATGGGTTGTTAATTAAAGATATTGTTTCGCGTATCTCATTTTTAACGCGAACAACATTGAAGCATTAATAAGTACTGTTAATTCTTTATTACTCGCATGGGGTGTCCATGATAATTCAGCTTATAAATTCATGAAATCTAAATGTATGAATACTATTCATATACATATTATTATATTTAGCGTAAACTATTTCACAATTAAAAAAAGTTTTTGTATTTATCTTTATCCGAAGGATGTATAGAATATTATCAATATTTATTCTTTGTAGGTGTGCCTGTTTAAGCATTTCTTTTTATTTTGTAAATTGCTCGCTTGATTTTTATGAAACTGGGACTATGAGATAATTTGATAATGCTTTATTCGAATTTGAGATAAAAAATAAAAAATTCAAAATGATAAATCCAATATTATAGACAGCACTTTTTCTAAATATTTTGATTATCATAGAATTTGATTTTAGAGAATTTTTAATTACATCATCATCACACAAGTTTCCAGTTTCATTTTATTTGAAGCTCATCAGCGCTACGCGAACAGTTGTAGTAGGTACTGATTTTCAAACTGACTTTTAAATTATGAGCCCTGTGACATTAGATCCTGCTTCATTGGAGGGTACTACTCTTTTGAAATTCGACATTTTCAGCAACATTTAAATTTAGCAATACCAAGAGAGAAGCCTTGAAAACCTCTTAAAATCAAATTTCACGATAATCAGATTATTTTTTTAAATTTAAATTTTAGAATTCTGAAAATAGAATCAAATTCAGTGACCCCGAAAACTCTTTGAAAAGGAGATGTTCTTTAAGTTTCTTTATTAAAAAGTTCGCGTCCATCCAAAGAGTTAATTATAAATCATCAATAATACAAATTGAGATAAAATATTGTCAGAAACCCTACGCGAGTAATTACGTTACTAAATCAACATGAATAATGTAGAATTAAATATATCGTAATAGATTTTGATATTTAGGAACTTGCGGAGCTTGAATATATGAATCAGATAATAAAGAAAGTTTTAAACTGATGGTAGTAAAAACGATTATTATAGATATAGATATGCTTCATTATTGCATAGAGAAACTCGAACAATGGAAATAGCGTCATACAGCCGAATGCATTTAAGTAGTACGTGAAAGCTTACATTTATCTGTTTCCCATTCAATTCATTTTCGTTGCTTTCTGTTTGCAAAGTACCTTTTGTTAACAGAAAGCGCGATTGATCAGAGATTCTCGGATATCAGTTATTTTTTATTAATTATATTTTCTAAGGGTTAGGTACATAGTCTCTGCGAAAAGTAAATTGAATTGGAAATTTATATTTTCCATATAAAAATAAATATTATACATATGACACAGTTTAACAAAGTTAATATTTATATTTAACAATACAATTTTATAGTTTAAATGAAAATTTTTTCTCAATTATTTTAATCTCAATTAAATAATCTCAATCAAAATAAAAAAATTTAATCTCAATTATTTTTTTCAAACATGTCTACTTCTCTTATTGAAATAATTATTTTATAATAATTATTTTGATTTTAAGTTATAATTCTTTCAGAAATTATAATTTGTATTATTCGCAACATCTAATTTTGACCGATCATTGGCGCTCTCTAGCGTATTTATATTGTATAATTCTTTCATTTTGATGAAAAATATTATGTGTAATATATCCTTAAACTAATTTTGAAGTTATTATAAAATCTTTACAATACTCTTTATTCGCTCATAACTCAAAAGGGCTATTTAAAAAAGAAATTGACTTAAAATTGATAAAAAGATCTACGATCCGAAGGAAATACGCTTCAATGACGAATACATAGAATTTTCTAGACTTATCTATTTCTGACTAACGTTCGTTATCTCATATCAGAATCGGAATGCGCCACTCCACACTACAGTTACAATTTAAGGGCTGCGGATGTGCAGCGCATCGAGAATTAGGTCGAGAATGGTGTATAGCACGATTCTAATGTCCGCCGCTGCTTTGGATAATTTTCCAGAGCACACGCTGTTCGTTTGAGTCACTTCCGCAGCTGTGTAAACGAGGAATCGATTCCCCGAACATGTGCTGCCGAAGAACATCGTCCTCCTCTGTGCGCTGCGGTTAAACCTGGGAAATATTTACCCAGCATTGTAATACGAAGATTTCCCTGGGTTTTCCTGAGCAAATTTATATTTTTAGTATAATTCCAATATTGTTATAAACCGTTGATTTTTTTTAAACATTCTGTAATAATGACACTTCTCGTATGGCACCTGAAGATGAATTAAAAAATTAATAAAGTACGGTTCATGTTTTTTTTTTTACTTCTGATCCTTAACTACGGCAAACTTGTTTAGAGAGAATCTGTAAAGAGTTTCAGTTCTATTTTTCGATTTTAATCACTGAATAATTAATAAATTAATCAATACGAGCAATCACGAAGGTGTACGACGTTTATATCGCGTTCAAACGCATATTATTTATTATCACGCTCCAGTTATCTCTACTTACGCGATGAGTGGCGATATCTCCACGTGGCGTTTCAAATGCGTCGCACACGCACATATGAGATATATATGCAACTGTTCTCATCGCTTTACAAAGCGCATGTTGCGACATATCTCGGACGCAGCTCAAAGCGTCAAGTAATTGTGCACATTTTCAATAGCGAAAGATAAATACTAAATTGCGAACAAAGCGGATATATCGACCATATATGATTATTTCCCGTTCGTTTTACGATGCACATTTATGGTAGCACTTATAGTAGTGGTTTTGTTATAAAAAGAAAAAGCACTCGTGTTTATTGGGTAAAACATGCACGATGCTTTTCTTCGATATTACTTCGTGCATGGAAAGTGCTGACCCTGATGAGTATTCATATCTCTAGTCTGGAATTAATAATAATTAATAATAAAGGTAGACCGAGGCATAGCACATGTCCGAACAATCGATCAAAACGTGAAAAATAGAGAGTAAATCCAATGAATCTTAAAAATGATGAAAAAAAATAAAAACACATACATATTTCTAATATATATTTCCTTTTTATTATAAAGAACTATTTAAAAAGTTTCTTACAAAAAATGATTAAACTTTTACATGTTGCTAAACTAACTAAACTCCACATGAGCACCTTTAGTAGCTCGAAGGATATCGAGCCGGTATTCCACTTCACGCCAAATGCGCTGCAGCATGTCGTTAGTTATGATGCCAATGGCAGCCACAATTTGGTTGCATATAAGGCATTCACGTTTGACATCTTAGTGGAGAAAACTATGTTCTTGTTATACACTCAGAAGAAAAAATCTAATGAAATGATATTAGGGAAACGTCGTTCGATAAAAACGTAAATTTGAATATTTATTCAAAAAAAAAAAAATTTTTCGTCGAATCGTCGTATTTACATTATCTGATTTTTAAGATAATATTAAAATCTCGGAGGTCATCATATATCTTTTGTATATGTATATGCGATTGTTGTTTGTTGCATTATTTCAAAAAACAACTTTGCTAATTCCAGAATGGACAGAATAATTACGACATTTTGTGTGGTCAAATAAATAAGATACATTTATATTTACTATAATAATAATAAATAAATAATATACAATATATTATTATAGTATATATATATTTACGATAATCATAAATTTTTTATAAATTCTCAAGATATTTTAAACACTTATTCAACTAAAATCGCTTTATGTATAAAGAAACATTTGTATTGCGTTTTTAGTAGAGGCCAAGTTTTATGGAGAAAGAAAAAAAATGCATTCAGTGAGATTAGTTGTTGCTCCAAATAAGGATTCTTGTAATGTGTGTGTGTGTGTGTGTGTGTGTGTGTGCTCTTCAACCCTTCTATTTTACAAGCGGTGTGACTACACGCTTTCCGGGCGCATTCAAAGAGCAAAGAGGGCTTTCTCGTTCACTCTTGAACATTGTCCTTCGATCAGTTTACTATCACGATACGTGTAAAGGTTAATACCGTCGACAGGAAGGTAAGAGAGTAGGAAAAGAGATTGGGTGTCTAGACACCCCTACTCTTCAGTTAGACTTGAGCCTTCGGGGTGCAAGTTGCGAGGATCGACTTGCAGCGCGGATTGCCTATTACGTTCCTCCCGCGAGCGTTTACACCCACCGTATGTTACACGCGGACACTATTATCTCGCCAATGGTTTAATTGTACAGCCATGGCGTTACCATGGGCGTTTCACCAATGTATCTATACGTATATACAATGATAGACGAGAATAAGTATCTTTTATCTTCTCTAGAAATTTTATTGAGTATTTAACTTATTTTTTACTTTCTGTAAAATTTCTATTGAATATTTTATTTGTTTCTTTTACTTTATGTACAAATTTTATTGAATATTTATCAAATATTTTAGCTTATCGTAAGAGAAGAGTAAGAGGAATAAAAACAAAGTTTATTTATACGATCCAAATATTAAAATTCATAA